ACCCATGCTCCTTCCCCACCCATCATAATTTACAATCCCATTTTATAAAAGGTCTGGAGCTGATAAGTCATTTGATTATATACCTTGCCTAATAATGGGCCAAATTACTTAATCCCAAAATGGTCTAATCCACTTAAGGTTGAGACAAGATTAAGTAATACAAATATGGTAAGGCTCTGTTCCATGCTACATTCTGACTGTTTCCGTAACTTGCTTCATGGGGTATCTCAAAGATAAAAAACACTCCTGTCATATATTGTTCAGATAATCCCATTGCAGTTGGCTACAAATGCCTGTGCCTTTTCTCTGACTATCCAGTAAGGAGCTCATCCTTCTAACTCAGAATAGTCTTCTAGACTTTTCATCCACTCCATTTCTCTTTGTTACCTACGTTTCAATTTCTCAGTCGTTAATATTTTTATTTTAGTTAATTTATTTTTATTTTATATGTATGAGTGTTTTGCCTGCATGACACCTGTAGTGCTTTTGGAGGCCAGAAAAGGGCATTGGAGCCCCTGGAAGTGGAGTTAGCCACCATGTGGGTACTGAACCCAGGTCCTCTGCAAAGCAACTTGTACTCTTTACCACTGAGTTATCTCTCTAGCTCCCTAATTTTGTTTATTAGCACAACAAACACTATCTCACCTATGAGCTCATCATAAAACTTAGGCTGGCCTTAGCTAATATGTTAAGCTTACTCAGTCTCCAACATCAGTCCAAACATTATCCTTTCTGTGAAATAAACACTGGTCCCCGTTTCCAACTATAACAGCTTCTTCATCTGTGTCTTTGTAGCACACCGCTGATAACTAGTTCTTAGTACTCAACATTTTATCCTTTCTGTTATATTAGAAATAACTAGAAAAACTAGGTCATGAGCTTTCTGAGGGTGAGCACGATGCCTTGAAGATGTCTATTCTCAGTATATGTCATGCATTTAACAAAGCTTAAGGTAACTGATACGGTTGAGTAAGCATTAAACTAAAATAAAGTCACATACCTCTACTGTACAAAATGGCTCCTGGCGCCTCAATACTTGGTTTTTGAGGTTTGAAATGGTTGTTTTTCTGCTTTACGCATTTTGGGGGTAACAAAGTGCTCTGTAATGCACTCAACAAAAACCTCCTAACCAAGCCAAGAGCAATTTCAAGCAGCGTTCCAGAGTCATGTCCCTTTATTGTCTCTGGCTTCCCAGAGCAATTTTATCATTATTGTACTGCAGCCCCAGTAGGGATCACATGGGGATTTTCTATGCAGTCCACTGAGGTGGCAGGTGTCCCTTAATAACAATAGGAGATACTGCTGGTCCAGGAAGTCTAAAAGCTCTAAGTTTAGAAAAATGAGCTAGGCCTGACATGCATGAAGCACGGTATATATGGGTATACTCTTTGGAGTTGGAGATAATACCTAATGCTGGAGTCTTAGGGCTGTAACATACCTGTTGTGAATCTCATTTCACCTTTTGTAAAATGAATCTAAAATTGCCTACCTTGTAGGGTATGTGCATGGATTGCAGATAATATCTGTACATAGGATTTTCATGCAATAAGTGTTCAATTTGTGTTCACTATAACCTGGCCTACTGCTTTTACATCTCTGTTTAGTTCTAGTCCTGTGTTTTAAGACATCTTTTTCCCCTCCATAGTACATTTTATCACCAGAAATCTGTTTTATTCTGCCTCTGACATCACTACAGAGAAACGTCACAAGAGCTTCTAACATTAAATATTCACATGTGCTTCTTGTCACACAGTTCTTCCTACAAAACCTTCAAATAGCCTCAGTGCCCTGCAGACTGTTTGTAGGGATTGCATTAATTTCCTCCTGAAGCTTGAACAGAACTCTGTTTTCTTTCATTGAAGCTGATTCCTTCCTTCACATTTTGTTTACTTCTTTCTGCTCACAGGCCTTGTATTCTCCCTAGCTGCTCTTGAGTGAGAATATTCTAATTTAAAATCCTGATTCCTCCACTCATTCACTTGGTGAAACTAGACCTAATTTGCTGATTTATCCAATGAGCACAATTAGACAACTCGTAGTCAGTGGACCTGCTGGCACCCTTTCCTGTACTCATTACATTCCTGGAGATTCAGTGGAGAGAATAGCAGCAATCTAGGCACATTACACCACACTGTGGCAGAATCCACTAAGGTTCGTTACCATGATAGGTCTTTCATTTATGGATTGGGAAGTAAGGGAGGCTCTATGCTCACCTAAGTGCCCGTTCTTCAGAAAGATCACAGTGAGCTTCCTCATATTCTTCTTTGGTCCCTCCCTGTAGGACTATCAGATCAAATACATTGTTAAGAAGAACAATATCACTTGATTCTTCTAGAAGCTTTTAATTTTTTTGAATAGCTTTTGATTTTATGTGCATGAGGGTATTGACTCCATATATGTAAGTGCACCCATGTCATGCAGTACCCACTGACCTAGAGAAGGGCACCGGATCCCCAGGAACTGGAGTTACTGATGGGTGTTGGGAATTGAACCTGGACCCTTTGCAAGAGCAGCCAGTTTTCTTAACTGCTGACAGGCCAACACTTTTAATTTTTGAGGGAGTACGATTTCAAGGAATGGTTTGTAATCTCCCTTCTTTGTTAGGGAGGGGATGGCTTCTTCCTTCCTGGGGAGTATGTAATAGAAAGCCTGTAGTAAGCCATCATTTCTTCCAAGGATGCATTTTCTCCTCCCCGCTACTGTTATATGGAGTCATGAACTGTACCACGACTTTTTTCAGTGATGAGCCATAAATAAAATACCATATATCCTAGGTGCATAGTAGCTTATATATTAAATCTGTAGGGTTTTTTTTTTGGGGGGGAGTTCTTTTTGATACAAGGTCTCCCTGTAGCCATAGCTGGCCTGGAACTCACTATGTAGACGAGGCTGGCCTCGAACTCACAGTGACCCTCCTGCCTCTGCTGCCCGAGTACTGGGATTAAAGACGCATGCCACCACACCCAGCAGTAGTTTTTGAATGATGATAATGTTATGTAATGATGCATTTCTTGGATCACAGCTTCATTGTGTAAGCTATGACTATATTTAACTTAGGATGAGAATAGATGGAGGAGATTGGTTTGGCCCAGCTATGGTAAGACTCTATATGAGTGTGTAGATCAGATATTTGATTTTCTCAAATAACCTGTGGAGACTGAAGCATATTTACTCATAACTATGAACCCTAGGTGAATGCAAGTTTGTCCTGCTCACCAAGTAGTTCTCAATCAGAAGCAATATCTTGCCTATAGAAACCCTTTTGAAATATGAAAGAGTATATTTTTTATTATTATGCATAGACAGCAATAACAATATTGTGACTATAATAAAATATTCTAAATATCCTTAAGTGTGTAAGATAGTCACATCAAATGAAGAACATTGCATTGAAAAACAAAGCACTGAATGTCAGCATATTGATTTCCTAATGATTTACATAAGGCCATGAGTTGTATGCACAAAGTGTTTCATTTATATTGCATTGATGAATGCTGATAATGTCCATCGTTTACGCTTCTTGGCAATCTTATTGAAAATTATAAATGAATCGCGTGCTGATAGATCAGTTAAGATTGCCTACTATTTATTTGGTATTTAAGATGGCAATCAGTTTATGAATTTCAAGCACGGTTTTTCAATGTGTTTCTTTAACTTCCTTCACCATGTGCTGTGTAGCATCAGAAACATGGGCTACATGTGTCTCAGGCTGGCCTCAAACTCACTGTGTGGCCAAGGATGCCCTTGAACTTGTGAATTTCCTTCTACCTTCCTAGTGCTCGGGTTTCAGGTGTTTACCACCACATCAGACATTATGAGTTGCTAGTGACAGAATTCAGGGCTTAGTGCACACTAGGCAAGCACTCTGTGGACTAAGCTCCATCCTCAATGTTTTTTGCTTTTTGAGGGGGGAAATATTAACAGATATTTGTAGTGAGCTGTAAACGTGTTACTGAAAAGGAAATTCTATGCATATCTTGAATATTTCAGTTATTTACATATGTACAAATTTATGTGTTGATTTTTTTTCTTTTGTATTATGGAAAAATCATAATCTGTATCTGACACAAGTTTTCCTTTTCTGTGTAATATTTCCTTCAATTTCCCTGGGTTTTTGATAATGTATTTCACATAAACGAAACTACGCCAGTGTTGCTCACACAAACGACTGAAATAGGAGGTGGAAAAGGGATAAATTCATGTTTTTCTCATTTGCTTTCCAAAGTCCAGCACATTAATAGCAGTATTGTTGAGGATAGTAGCTTTAGATTTCGACTGGATATAAAGAACAAAGCCAATAAGGTCTGTTAAAGGTGGCTCAAAGAAGAGAATATGTTTTGAAGAAAGATGTGGCATGGATAGGTATATGATAAATATTCTCAAACTGCCCTCCGTCAAAGGCAGTTATCTATAAAGGGGAGTTCTGTTGCTTGATTTCCAGTCAAAATTATAAATAGTTATACATCCTCCAAAGCAATAGCAGTTTTCATGTTTTTGAGTTTGCTTTTCTTACTGGACCCACAGGAAAATAAACGTTATGGTACAACAATTATAAGTACTGCTAGTGAATTACCTGCCTCGTTCTGACAAGAACGTGTGAAGGAAACTCACATGTGTAACTATTTAAATTAGCATACTTCCAGAGCTTGACTACCTTCCAGACTTCCAGGGCTAGCTAGCACAATCACCTGAAGTCAGGTCTGAGGGTTAAATAACCAAGATTGCTTAGTTTATTATCTCCTCTAGATTTTGGATACCTTCTCCTATTAAAAATAGAATTTCTTCTATAATTGATTTCTTATTTAATTGATTACTAGTGGAACATTTTTTAAGTGTAGAGGAAGTTCATGAATGAAAGGAAATCCAGGAGAGTCTCAATATTTGAGTTTTCAAGCGGTAAGTACTGTGAGGAAATCCTTCTGTGAACCATAGAATTAATAAAAGCTGAGCCCATTGGAACATAATCTCAATCAGCAAGATGCCACTGCTTTCCAGATTTTCTCACAGGCCCTGCTATCTCCATGCCAAAACTAGCAGTGGATTTCTTCCTTTTAATCTCCCCTAATGCCTTATTCGATTGTCACTGCTCTCCAACCAGACTGTCCCTTCAGACTCTATATTTCCCAACTGTACCTGTCAGAGGAGGTTGGGTGTCTGCAGGACATAGTCTAAGACCGCAAGCCACCCTTCCACGTGAGAAGACAGAAACAAGAAAAATAGAGCAAGGGAATCCCAAACACTTTCCTGGCAAACTCTTCATCCTTTGGTTTACTGGCTGGACACAAGCAGGGAAGAGGGATGTGAGGGGTTTAGAAGATTTCTCCAGTTGATTGGTAAAGGAGAACTGGCTGAGGAGAGGAAGAAGGCAGGAGGAGGGTGGCCTGAGCATCTTCGCAAACCATAGGATGGTGTTGCTTCTGTCCTGGATGTCTATTATTTTATGGTAAGATATTTTTTTCTGATTTTTCAATTTAACTTAGAGGAAAGAGAGAATATGTAGCCACTTGACAACTTTTAATCACACAGTAGAAGAAGCCAGGGATGATATAGCTCCTGTCTATGATGGGGTAGTCTAGACACAGTGAAGCAATCTGTATTCCCTGAGGTCAGGAATGAGAATCATTGACTCCACTTTCAGGCTAGAAAATACCAGAGCTCAGCTTGAAGATGAAGGCAACTTCTTCTCAGAAAATGTCAGTCGGATTCTTGACAACTTGCTGGAAGGTTACGACAACCGTCTTCGCCCAGGATTTGGAGGTAAGAAGCTACCTTGTTGTTATACAAAATACCTGGAGCTTCCTTCCTTTTTCATAGCCCTTCTCAGAGCCAGAGAAGTCAGAAAGAAGGTAGCTTACAAGAGTGGTAAGCTTAGGGGTGCTGAGATGCCATGTGTGTTGCTGTTCAGTTTTCACCCTTTCCTCCATCAATGACCTTGTGAAAGTTATTTGAATTCTGTAAGTCTGACTGTCATCACTTATGTTGTCTAAGGATGAGCTCATCTCATAGGGTTGTGTGAATGTAGAAAGAAATTTCCCATGCAAGACACTCAGCATTTTTCCGAGAAAGCAATGGATACTAATAAATTCTGACAATCATCATCATTGGTAATATTGCTAATTATCTTTAGGATACACCAATGTAGTTATCTTCCCTTCCTTAGTAATCTCTCAATTTGAAAAAAATGAATATAAAATAAAGTAAGTAACTGAGGTAAGTTCTTAAAGTTTAAAGAGTAAAGATCATTCGCTTGACATAGCTGTAAACAGGCAGTGCTTACGTTTTCTGGTATGTGAAAGGGTTTGCGGAGTCACTAATTTACCTTAACAGTTTGTGTGTTAATCACCCCAACCCTTTTGGCTAATTTCAGGTGCTGTCACAGAAGTCAAAACAGACATCTATGTGACAAGTTTCGGGCCAGTGTCAGATGTTGAGATGGTGAGTATAAAGGGTACTTTTAGTTAGGAAGGGAGTGCAGGACCTCAGGACTAATGGTAATGGATATTGCCATCAAGTTTGACTCCAGATTCATAATACAATATGTGTGTTCCTACTGGGAGGGCATGGCCATTGTAACAGATTGCTAACTCGAACTTCACATTTCACTGAAGACTCTGCTTGAACATTTTAAGATGAGGGACTTTGTAATATTATAGGCTCTTTTCCACTCACAGAGCATGTAGCGATTTTTCCCTACAAAGAAAAGAATATCTCCTTTTTGGTAAGGTCACAGTAAAATTGTTGGTATAGGAAATTCATTTTAAATAATTCTGCTCCATGTATGAGGATACTGAGGATGTCTATGAAGCTTGACACATACCTGTTTTTGTAACGCATCATCACTAGTGCATCTTATTCAGCAATAAAGAAGTCACTTGGACAGGCTCATGCTTTCTGCCTTGTATAATGTGGATGGATCAGTGGGTGTTCTGGAGACTCTGTTCCAGGTACAGATGGCTGCAAGATTCGTAAGAGGGTATTTATAGAAAGTGGCAATGAAAACCTGAAGTCATCTTCAGAACAAAGTGTATCATGGCATCCCCTTTACAGTTTTCAGGTAGCAATTTTCCTTTGAGAATAAAATACAAGAACTAAGGCAGAAGCAGTCATAACTGCCTTTAAAGAACTATGCTATTAGATTTTATTAGGGAAATGTGATTTTGTAGAAAGTTACTAGAGCCTTCTAGTCTTTTCTTTTTAAAATTATTTTGGAGTTGACATGGAAAGAGTAAAAAGAAGGTAAGCAGAAAGTAAAAAGAGAAGGAATAAAGGAAGAAGGACAGGAGAGAAAAACAAGAAAAAGGTAGGGAGGAAGGAAGGTGGAAGGTAGGAAGGAAGGAGGGAAGGAAAGAAGAGAGGGTGGGAGGGAGGAAGAAGGAAGGAAGAAGGAAGGAAGGAAGGAGGAAGGAAGAGAGGGTGGGAGGGAGGAGGAAGGAAGGAAGGAGGAAGGAAGAGAGGCTGGGAGGGAGGAGGAAGGAAGGAAGGAGGGAAGGAAGGAGGGAGGAAGGAAGGAAGGAGGGAAGGAGGGAAGGAAGGAGGAAGGAAGGAAGGAAGAAGGAGGAAGAGAGGGTGGGAGGGAGGAGGAAGGAAGGAGGGAGGAAGGAAGGAAGGAGGGAAGGGAGGAGGGAAGGAAGGAGGGAGGAAGGAGGGAGGAAGGAAGGAGGGAAGGAAGGAAGGAGGGAAGGAAGGAGGAAGGAAGGAAGGAAGAAGGAGGAAGAGAGGGTGGGAGGGAGGAGGAAGGAAGGAGGGAGGGAAGGGAGGAGGAAGGAAGGAAGGAAGGAAGGAGGGAAGGAGGGAGGAAGGAGGGAAGGAAGGAAGAAGGAAGGAAGGAGGGAGGAAATGAGGGAGGAAGGAGGGAAGGAAGGAAGGAGGGAAGGAAGGAGGGAAGGAAGGAGGAAGGAAGGAGGGAAGGAAGGAGGAAGGAAGGAAGGAAGAAGGGAGGGAGGGGACAGAAAAGATGGGCAGAGAGCAAGGGAAGGCTTTGTTGAGAAATAAAATCTTAAAACCTGAGAGTATAATTCAAGATTCTGGTTATTTTAGTTTTCATTTAAGTCATGATTCATCCTTAATGTAAACAACCATGACCATTTGCATTACTGAAATCAGAGTTTACCTGGAATTTTATTTCATACGTGTAACTCTTTAAAGTACATTTGTTTAATAGGATCCTAATATTGCTCATTATCATATGGATAAATTATTATTAAATTATGAATAATATTAACTTAATACTAGTAACATCAATTAATTTAATATTGGATTTTTAAAAATGTAATCACTTTTTGTAGAAATAAATATATAAAGAATCTTATAAAGCAGGCAAAAATTATTGGCAATGCTCTAACATAGTTATGTTTTTTGTCATTGACTTCTGCAATAGCCTGATAAATATTTTAAAATTCTAATGCTATTTCATAAAATTCATAGTTTAAAATCAAAATCGGTTATAAATTTTTAGTTTTCTGATGCAAATAAGCATGGTAGCACTTGTTTTTATGTTCTCTGACAACAATGTAAAATAGCCATGGTGTGCAACCTTAATTAATAAAATTCACATATTGTTGAAATTTTACTTAATGGTAACTTGATCCTCTAAGGCCACTTTCGAGGTGAATGAGGTGCTGAGAAGATGGTTGGACTCGCTGAAGACAGAAAGTCCAGAACAAAGCCTGACCTATGAATAGTTCCCTGTGTTTCCCTTTAAAGTTAAAGAGGGAGATAGACGTTCGATGCTGAATAATTGGATACAGAGGAAGATGGTTGGACACTTATGTTTGAGAAGGCTTCTGCATAATATGGCACCATCTTAAACAATAATATTGCTAACTTCATGAATTTGAAAAATAAGGAGTCACTCAAACTTTATCTATTGATTAATATCATTCATTGGTTATAATCATCAATTACTCATTGATTATAAAATCATGCTAAATCATTCAGTTTTAGTGGGAAGTTATTGTTATAAAATCTGATTTATTGCTTAAGTTTTAGAATTAGATATAAAACTAATAATGAACTATATTTTACAAGCCATTTTCCAAGGTTTTGAGATAAAACATCTTAAATGAATATTTTATTTTATTTTCTCTTAGGAGTACACAATGGACGTTTTCTTCCGCCAGACTTGGACTGACGAGAGGCTGAAGTTTGGGGGTCCAGCTGAGATTCTGAGTTTAAACAACTTGATGGTCAGTAAGATTTGGACACCTGACACTTTTTTCAGAAATGGCAAGAAGTCAATTGCACACAACATGACGACCCCGAACAAGCTCTTTCGACTAATGCAAAATGGAACAATCCTGTACACCATGAGGTGAGGTTTCTACATTCTGCTTCCTCTGCTTAAAGGAGGTGTCCTTGCTAATCAGAACCATGTGTTTCAATGTCACTAGGCTCACCATCAATGCCGACTGTCCCATGCGATTGGTTAACTTTCCTATGGATGGACATGCTTGTCCACTCAAGTTTGGGAGCTGTAAGTTACAAAAAGTTTCCAAAAGTCAAATAATACATTCAAATTATGTACTTATTTTATTTATGCTAGAGACTGAAAAACAGAAGGAAAATGTTGCCATGACACTCTCTGTGATTTCAGGAGTAACTATACTTTCTGTCAGTCTAAGATGTTTAATTAATGAGATCAAACAAAAAATACAACAAAAATTCATGCTATATTTCCTTATCTATAGGTAAGGCAGATGTTTGCTTCAAATGGATAGAAGACAAGTAATCATATTAACTGCTGTTTAATTTGTTTCAAAAATTCAGATGCTTATCCTAAAAGTGAAATCATATACACATGGAAAAAAGGACCACTTTACTCAGTAGAAGTCCCAGAAGAATCTTCTAGTCTCCTTCAGTATGATTTGATTGGGCAAACAGTGTCTAGTGAGACAATTAAATCTAACACAGGTAAGAATATGAAAATTTGATGTATGGTAACCCCAGTACACATTTTCAAAATGTCAATTCCTTTTTTTCCCTAAACATTAGCCGTTATCAGCTAAACTTACTGTTTTGAAGTGATGTCTTCAATATTTATTTGCAAGCAAGTGCCTTTGAATATTTGTATAGTCATGGAATGAATTGTTTTGTAAATATATAACATAAAGAACCACTAAAATCAGTAAGGAGTGTGTCTCTTTGCTTCTGATCAAATAGTGTTCTCACATATTTTTGAATAATGCCTTTGCTTGTTTCTTCTAGTCCATGTTAATTTGAAATCTTGCACGTTTTATATTCGCCAGTAGTCTTTGTTGCATGGTCAGCTGGAGTACTACTGATGTGTGTGTCTTCTAACAGGTGAATATGTAATCATGACAGTTTATTTCCACTTGCAAAGGAAGATGGGCTACTTCATGATCCAGATATACACCCCGTGCATTATGACAGTCATCCTTTCTCAAGTGTCGTTCTGGATCAATAAGGAGTCTGTCCCCGCCAGGACTGTCTTCGGTATGACTCACACTTTGTGTCTCATTTCCTTTCAAACTCTCCTTCTTCTTGTTTGAGTATTTTGGGTGAATATTCATATCACTGTGCTTTGTCTATACACAAAAGAAACAGACTCCAAGCTCATTCAGACACATGTCTTGAAAGTGTAATGCCTCTCATCTTATTGCAAGTTGTGTGGTGGATTGACAAGAAAATTGGTCTCAGCAACAATTGTCAATAATTTGCACCCTATTTAGCAATGTAAAGCAGATTGGAAAACACTGACATGTAAATCCAGGAAAGCAAAAGGTTAACACTTTGAATTCACGCAGATAAATTATATCTCATTTTTATTGGGTCCAAACATAAAATTTGCAATTTTTGCAAATCTCAAACTAGTCAAATGTCAAAAATTTCTTCTAGTTTAACCAAAATGGTCATGTCCATTTATATGGTATAAAATCACTTCTTGGAGGAGCAAAATGTGATCATGGGATAAAGAGCTATAACTAAATATTGCCAGAAAGAAAATCCTTTTATTTCTTTTTCATTTTTATAAATTTAGTAGTTTATACAGAAGATCTGAATTGAATCTCAGACAAATCCTGATTATTTAAAGATTTACTATGTTAGAACAGATCTAGTTTACAAATTACAAAAAAAAAAAAAAATCCTCTTAATGGTACTGCCAATGTTACAGATCTCCAAATGTATAAATTTTCAAGTCACAATTCAAGCAGAAAAACTGCTGGCAGGTGAGTGATAAAATTTGTTTTCTTATAAGTATATATTTTATCTTAAAACCTGGCATTTTTATTGAGTAATCTGATTTTATGTTAACATTGTGTCTCAACAGTAATGAAATATGCTAACAACTACTAAAATCCATCAAATTCAAGATATCTTTTATTATTTAAGTCACAATAATTAGTTATGTTTCCTCAAGCAGTAAACAATAGACCTATTCATGACTTAAATTTCATCATCGTTAATTTGGTTCAACAAATCATTTTTGGGGAATTACATTGTATATGTCAGTGTACCAGGTTATAATGATATAAAGCTGGTAACACCTACCATAATAATTCTGAATGATTATAATGCAATAAAATTACAAAAATCACTGGGCAGTGGCAGGGTATTTAACTCTGTCTACTAGTCTGTTCACGTGGAAAGGTTCCTAGTGCTAACACCACCTTCCTCATTCTTTCTCCTTTCAGGAATCACCACTGTTTTAACCATGACCACCTTAAGCATCAGTGCTCGGCACTCCTTACCCAAAGTGTCCTATGCAACAGCCATGGATTGGTTCATAGCCGTGTGTTTTGCTTTTGTCTTTTCTGCTCTCATTGAATTCGCAGCTGTCAACTACTTCACCAATCTCCAGTCACAGAAGGCTGAAAGGAAGGCACAGACTGCGGCCGCACCCCCAGTGGTAATATCAGAAATGACCGGACCTCTGGAAGCTGAGATTGTGGTGGTAATGCTTTCCTTTTCTAACTTACCTTGCAGATAGAAAAGCAGCTCAAGAAGTGACAGCAAACAAATAAGCAGTTCTGAAAATTAGGAGCGAGCACGAGTTATGTAACTTTAGCTACCAGGACAATTTTGCTTCTCACTTCACAGGGAAAAGCTAAGGAACAAGCCCTCATTTATCTTTGCTCAAAAGTTCTACTACTGTTCTTTCATCACCCGCACTTGTACTGGCAGATCCAAGGCTCTCAGAGGAGACTAGAGAGTTCTGCTTAACTTTAGATGTTTCCTTTGAACAGGTTCCCTTATACTAGCTAGGGAATTTAAAGTTTAAAAAATAAAAGTCCTAAGGAGGCTTCAGAGTTGACAAGAAGGAAACAGGGACTCCTACAGCATGGCCTGTTCTTTCCAGAATTCTGCTTGTTGCTTTATTTCATAAGGACAAGATGTGAATAACGAATAACAGGTTCTCTCAATGCTGTAATAACCCAGATATCCCATCACCATCAAAATACCATCAGTTACATCAGTGTATTAAATACATGTACAGTAATGAGCTCATAGTCAAAGGTTTATGATAAATGAGAAATGCTCATAATTTTTCCTTAAATTTGTTGGGGCCAATCTTTTTCTCCAAAGGTTTTCTGGATAAGAAACAAATGGTATCAATAATATTTAAAAGGCCACAGATGTGCTCATGAATTGCAATCTCATTTATAAGTAAATTTTTACAAGCTAAACACCTTTAAAATAGATTACAAAATTGATTGACAAGCCTAAAATTTTACCTTAATAGAAACATCAATAAGCAGGTCTTAGAAAACAAGGAATGTTTGCACTGTAAAATGAATAATGAAGATAATTTGAACCTGGAAATTTCCTTTAATTGTTTAAGTTCAGTCATGTTTCCTAATTTTAAAACTACATATAGATCACAAACTCTTGGTTTAGCTTTGTGATGAAAATTATAAAGAAATTTGTGTGTTTTACTTCCACAAGTATGTGGTATTCATTGGCTCAAAAAAATTTATTCATCTTTTCTGTTTGATAAATTAATAATTTTTTGAAAGAATTTGCATTTTCTCTAGGAAATGAGGAAAGATCATGCCACATTGAATAACAATATATAAATGTTATTTTCTAGAATTAGTCCACAATTGGAAAAATAATAAAAGAAATAAAAAAAACTGGAAAGAACTAAAAGAAGGAAGGAAAGAAAGGAGGAAGGAAGAAATAAAACGTATTTGCTATCTTTTGGTCTAGTCTAAATTTTCTTCTTTTATAAACAGAAAATCAGAGTCTCAGTGGGTGCAAACACTAGTTACTACCTGGTAGAAAAAAAGGGACTTGATTCTAGAACTTCTGATATCCACAGTGTTAGAGACCATAACCATCCTTTCCCCGTCAATTTCTGAGAAAAGCAAATATACCAGAGCTTATACCAATGAATAAATCTCACTGAAGAAGGTAGACGAGGTCATTCCCCAAAATCTTTTTGACCTAATGATATTTTCAGCATATGTATACAATATATACATGTACATAGAGAATATATGTAAGGAAAAACTTTATTAATTTATAACAAAATACACTAGAAACTTCATCTGAAATGTTCGAAAGCCATAGTCTTAGGCATGTTAAATTTCAAATACTTTGAAAAATCTTTTATATTTTTGAAAAGCTTAACTCTTCTTCAAACTGTCTGCATACATACAAGTTTATATCCTACATTGTCCAAAAATTATAAATGAACTTAGCATATATCTATAAAAGAATAATTTAACAGAATTTCAGAAGTCATACCAAGGGTCATGGAAAGCAAAGCAGCTGTGGTAATGCACAACTCAGATCCTAAGTCTGGCTTTAACTATAAAGAGACTCTGAGAAAGTTGTGAAACTGAGTTCAGATCTTTCCCTGTGTTGCCCCTCGTCTCCCAGCTCAGAGCACCTTGTTTTCCTAGAGATGATGTTAAAGTCTTAGTTATTTGAGACATAGTACAAGAACAGAAATATAAATAAATCAGAAATAGGGTTTAAAAAGGCAGCCAAGGAGCTGGAGAAATGGCTCAGTGGTTAAGAGCACTGGCTGCTCCGCTAGAGGACCAAGGTTCAGCACCCACATGGCAACTAACAACTATCCATAACTACAGTTCCAGGGAATCTGACGCCCTCTTCTGACCTCCATGGCATTGCACAACATGGGTACATGTACATACACACAGGCAATACACTTATACATATAAAATAAAATTTTTAAAAAAGCATCCAAGCCGGGCGTGGTGGTGCACACCTTTAATCCCAGCACTTGGGAGGCAGAGGCAGGTGGATCTCTGGGAGTTTAAGGCCAGCCTGGTCTACATAGTGAGTTCTAGGACAGCTGGGGTTACAGGGAGACCCTGTGTCAAAAAGACCAAAAAAAAAAAAAAAAAAAAAAAAGAAAGCAGCCAAAATGATTTTTGAATATACTAATTGACTGGATATTGAAATAAGAAAAACAAAATTCTTTACTTCATCTTCTTTACAATATATAGTACTGAGAAGAAGGAATGTGGTTTCAAATCTTTGAAGAAGACTTAGACTAATCATCACCTCGGGCTATTATTTTAAAGGTATGAGTTATTAAAGAGATGGAAGTTAAGATCCCAGGTATTCATATAAATTTTCTCCTAAATCTAAAATAGCAATATATAATGAGCAAGTCCTACAGGAAGCTGGATTTAAAAATTGCATTTCAATCATCTCAACGTACTTTTCCTTGCAAGTTGTCTTTTTTCCTTATGAGAAATTATTTTTCTGAACCTAGTTCCATTTAAAACTATCTGAAAGCAATAAATAGAATTTTTGCTTCTGAAAGGCTAAAGTGAAAAAAATTAAAAATAAATTAACCAATACCCAAATGCAAACCCTAAAGGTACCAAAAATAAATATAGGTGATTACACGGGACATTCATAGTTTATTCGTTCATGTCAAAACTTGGCAAGTTACTTACATAATGGAAAGGAACAAGCATAAATTACACATTTACTATATTTATATTGCACAATGGTGTATTATGATGGCAAGGTCATTTTATGTTCTTGCAAATACCATGACATTTAAAAATGCCTATTCAGTTGTAATCAAACAACATTATTTAAATAAGTTGGCTGCTGATAAAACTGTAGACTACTGGAGTGAAATTGAAATACATAAATTTGCTAGTTTCTTTGTTATTTGAAAGGTCTGAGTCTACTTTGCCATGTACCTGAGTTGGATACTCCCTACCCCCACAATCCTTCCTTCAGTATTGTTCTTCTTAGTGTGACGTCTTTTTCACAATAGTTGTGACAGTTTTGTGTATCTGCATGCCAAATTGATGAAATCTGCACATAAAATCCACCAAATTTTCACTAGCCAGGAACTAATACATACTAATTGTTGCTTATTCCTTTATTTTTCTTCCTTTAAAAAGCAATCAGATATCCATTTGTTGAGTGTTTATTTGCTTGTTGAATTACCCATCCAACAAGTATATTTTAAACATCTCATACATTATAGGACATTATAGGACATCTTCCCTCATGAGGATCTTATGTGCAGGAAGAGGGATACCAAATGGAGAGAGAAGTCCATGAGAAATTGTGATAAAGGCTAAGGTTAGAGATTCAGAGTAGGATAAAGAAATCCATCTGAGAGTGTCTAACTCAGTGTAGAAGTGTCTGCATTTCTGTAAGAGTGATGTCTGAGCTGAGAAGAGAAAGGTGAGTATGGCTTGTATAGCATCACTAAGTCATTTGCTAGAAACTTGAGCAAGGAGGGAAAGGAGACTTGTGCTCTTCTTATCCTTCTTTACAAGGGAGAGGTCCATGCCAGATCCTGACTGAGCATTGCCATAATCAGTGATGCACAGGGATGTGAAGGATAGAATGCTGAAAGGTACCTCTCTTGCTCCGAATTTTGCTAAGATTTCTTTGCATCCTGCCATTACTCCCTGGTATTAAGGGGTGAGATTATGGGAGGCTCTAGGTATCAGAATGTTCATGGTGTCTCTTCCCTGTGGTTGTACTATCCTGTGATTCATGGGGAGAAATAGTGGGTTAGCTTAAGGGGCAGGTGGTTAAACTTTTATACATATATTCTTTCAAATCCTCGCACAATACACCACTTGCATCCTTCTAACACCAGCCTGGTCCCCCTAGCTCTGTTGATGTGCTAGAAAAGTAACAAACTGTTTATATGTAGACACTCAGACTTATCTATGCTCCCAACTCTACCTATTCCAATACAAATTGAAAAACTTCTGACAGAGTTCTAATTTCCCCATAGTATTCCTATCATGGTTTTGAATATTACTTTCAAAAGTATTGTTTTAAAAAGATGATTTTTGTCTAATTTTGGTACCCATGTTTAATGGTTCTCTCTCTCTCTCTCTCTCTCTCTCTCTCTCTCTGTGTGTGTGTACTGAGAGAGAGAGAGATAATACATATGATATATACAGTATCTTTTCCATTTTTTTCCATTGAGTAGTGAGCCTCTGGTTAGACTATCTCTGCTGAGATTATATTTTGACCACTTTGTTGGCCAAATATAAAATATTATGCTAATATAAAGAATATTTCATTAATGCTCTATCCTTAAATGAAATAAATGATTATCATATTGTCCATTTTAGCTCAAGGTACCTTTGCGATATGAAGTTACTTAAAACAAAGAGGTGCTCTAAAAATACCCAGAGCAGGATGACACTCATCAGCAGGGGAGCCCGGGAAAAATTCAAAACCGCAGGTGTTCCACTCAAAACACTGACAGCCCCAAGCTGAGCCCTCATCTGGACTCTGACAAAAGCCTATTTTACCATCAACCTAAGTTGCTGGGCTCATAATAGAGCAGGAAGGGTCTGATGTAAACCTGAAGCTTGAATGGTTTGCAAAATAGGCTTCCTTTTCATTTCAAAACTGCAATGTTTTTCTTCTAAATAGGCATCTAGCATCCACTGGCTGCCAATTCCCAATTATCCAGTAACTGCTTATCCAATGTAGAGCAGCTGAACTCCTGAGTTTCCTTTAGAATATTATATTTGCTTCCTCCTAGAAAGACCCTCCCCTACCCCAAACACTGCTGGGCAGTGAAACGAATGTGACTTTAAATCAATGATGCTTAATGGGGGATATGTTTCTCTCATAAGGCATTGGACAATCTCTGTAAATTGTTACAATCTGAGCTGAGGGTGCTCCTAGTACCTTGTAAGAAGAGGTCTTGAATATTGATCAATAGTGCATAGGGAAGTATTCAGCCATAAAATAATTATATGACCTAAAATGCTAGTCTTTTGATCTGAGAAACCATAGCTAATGCTGGCAGAATTCATAGTCTAAGAACTGGTAAGAGAGGGTTCTCTGTCACCTGAATGGGATCCATGCCTCTCCACTCATCATCTTATGTGAGCTTTCTTCCTTCTTCCATTTCAATTACTTCATGTCTCAAATGAACACGATATGACTTTTAAGATGTTTCCAACAAATGAACAAATTTATGCATATGAATTTCCTCATAGTATTTGTCAACATTAAGCATTTAGAAGTGAGATATGTGATATGATGTAATATCAAACAAGACTTTAGCTATAATGTAACCCTCATAAACTTTTAGCTCCCCTTCCTTGCTCGCCTCCTTCCACTACTCCTGGAAAAATTGTTTACATTTTTATTCATTTTTTGATTGCACTTAAGTTTTAAAAAAAATATTCTATGTCCTATTCACTAGCTAGGCACTGATGAGCACTCATATGTGAGAATAATGTGCCCTGTATCATTAAGGAGATTTCATTCTAGGAAAGGGGATTTAGTCACAATAGAAGCAGTTGTACTTAGAAGAGAGAATATTATACCAGCTACTGGAGTCCTGGGGAGCCAGAAACACACAGAAAGAGTGGCAACATTAGTGATATCAGATGGCATATGAGCTTGCTTTTAACAGGTTGGAAGATAAAGGTGAGGTGAACTGAATTCCCAGAAAAGAGGAGATGCAGTAAAAAGCAGTGATAAGAAAAAGAAGTAAACACACATTACAAATAATTGAAGAGGCACTTAGAATGGAATTTTTTGAGCAAATATCAGTGTATATCTACATCATATGTTTTGCTCAAATTCTTAGAGAACTAGGAAAATATGTTTAACGACAGTAGTGATTATCTCTAACTTTAAAGATAAGAACATGACACTGAGGTAGAATCCGAAATTCTGATGTTGGTGGCATATCTAAGTCATATCACAATTGGAAGATGTGGGGTTGTCACATGCGGGTTTCTTTTTAAAATATTTAAACTGATGTGAGATTTCATAGAATGTATTTTGATCATACGCAGACCCCCTTCTCCATCTCCAGCCCACCTTACTGCCCTCTCAATTTCATGCTTTCTATTATAGTCTCTATTTTTAATGGCCTGTAGAGTCTAATTTGTGCTTCCTAAATGCTTTTGGGTGTAGGTCTATCCCTTAGAGTCAGTCAAACTTTTAGGTGTCACATTGCTAAGGAAAACTGATCTACCCTCTCCTAGGACCTATCAGTTGCCAATAGATCATCAACTAGGGCTTGGGCTTCCTCCCCACCTCTCTTATCCATGCTGGGCCCGTTGACTTGGTGTGCTTGTGCATGCTGTCATAAGTCCTGTGGGTTCATATGTGCTACTACCCTGTGGCTCAAGACAACACAGCTCCTTGTATTCATCTACCACCCCTGGCTCTTACTATCTTTCTGCCCCTTCTTGATTATTGATCCCTGATTCTTGGGAGGAAAGGGTATGATCTAGTATCCCATTCAGGGCTGAGTACCCCACAGTCTCTTATTCCTCTTGACTTCTCTTATAACCTGAAAGTTGCTCCACAGAGTTTAGTTGATGCAGCAAATGATAAAATGGACTTTTAGTTGCAGGTTAATGCTATTTTACTTTCAATTTTCGAAGCATTTATTTTTTAATAATGTTTCTTATCTTTGGACCAAGGTTATTTGGCAATCTTGCTTTGCATCCTTCTGACAATGTGACAGTGTCAAGATATTCAGAAATAGCTCCCCTATCCCAAACCACTGAACAAGACAGGAAGAAAAAGAATAATGATTTACAATTTTATGATGTGTTATGTTTTGTAGAATGCTTTTTTAAAAAATCAATATTTTAAAAATCTCAATGTCTCTGCCCCACTTCCACTTAAAATAGAAAGACAAGTTTCAGACAAGTAATGTTTGCTATTAAAGGTCAAGAAGAACATGGAAGGACATTTTCTGAGGGTTTCCCTTTTCCATTCCTTCAACCTCTTAGGGATTTTATTATGGGAAAGAATTTTAGTGTTCCACATGTGTGGGAGAAGGATGGCCTTTTCTGGAGGATGAAACTGTAACTCTTTGTACTTAAAGGTATAAAATCCTTTAACAACATTCTAATGATTAAAATAAAATTGATCAAATTAGAGTCTGAAAACCATAGTAGAAAACACTTCCAAAACAGTGCCAAGTTTATTGTCTAAAACCAATCCGTGGTGTGTTAAGACCCTGATACTCTCACTTTGGTCCTAACCACAGAGTTTGGTGACTTCAGAATTCAGTCTTCAGCTACTGCTTAGTTTTAATAGTCAGTTTTTTCATACTCCAGGTCAGCAGACTCATTCAGACTCTCTTTCTCCTTCAAGACTACAACTCATTTAATTCTGTGTAGTGACATCCACAGTAGCAGACCAATAGATAAGGCATTGTTTACATGAAACTCACATGATCATGTAAAAATCAGGCTCAAATAATATTCATTTTTTATTTGAATGAAGAGATAGATTTTTGCCATGGCTTCTAAAAGCACAGTAGCCTTTTAAAATGACAAATATTACTTAGATAATCAGAAGCCTCCATGAAAAACCAAATAGCAAAGCCCAGGAGAAAAAATAGAAAGAAAAAAAAAAGATTCATTGTTCTTCCTGCATCCCTAACATCATCATACTGGCAGGCCACTGTGGTCCTGTGGTTCAGTCAGCACAGGGGACATGGCTGTCTCATCTTATGGCTGCAGGGCTGCCAGCTTTAGCTGTAGGAGTCTGCCCATGTGAGTAACATACTGTGCCATGAAGCAACATGGTAATTGTGCTGCCAGGGAAGAAACAAGGCCAGTCTACAAGATCAGTGGGAAATGTACATCAAGTGTGTGAAGGCAGATAACAAGACAATTTGGCCTCAAGGAAAATGTTTGTTATAAGTCATAGACAAGAAACAGCAAGAAAGAGAGGAAAGGTTCCTAGACTCCAATTGCATGAGAGGAATCTAGATCTGACAGAAGCAGAGTACAGAACTAGGCTGAATACTTGAGAGTGGAGATGAGGTGAGAACATGTTGGTGTGAGACAGGCTTTGAGTTTGAACCATGGCTTTGCTGGCAGTGTGACCGCAAACAACACATTTCCCTTTTTATGATGCTGGTCTTCACAAACATCTACTAATGCATTAAACAGCCCTCTCAAGACTAGAGTTGTCTTATGGTTCCAATATAAAAGTCGAATGATAGGAAAGAACATGCAACAACACTTAGCTTAGTGAATGAATCATTTGGGGTGGTTTCAGAGGAAGAGTGACTAGCAGAGAAGTACTGGGTGGGAAGTTTAAGACTTTCAGTATAGAACTTCTTGACTTAGAGGCAGATGCAGTTTAAAGCGCAACACTGTTCCACTTAATTTAAGACTTTTATTCTTGGTCACTGGCCTTTGGTGTTCACTGACTGATTCTTAAATTACATCTGGTTCAAATTATAAGCATGTGAATATAAAGATTTAGGCAAGAAATTTTCTTGAAGAATATAATCAGTGAACTGAATTAGGATTTCCCTGTGTTAAGCAATTGCCCCTGTGCTTTATATTGGAATACATTCCTGCACACACTTCTACACACACACACACACACACACACACACACACACGCACACACACAACTGTGTACATTCATTGGCCTAACTTTGCTACTTGGCTCAACTTTTTCTAATGGTATAATGCCAAATACAGTTTCTCAGGCATTGTAAATACTTGGCATCTATTGCTGATGTATCAAATGTTAAGATGTCAGAAGAAAGAAAATTATTTTATAAGTAGAGCTGGAGGTATATAGCTCAGTAGTGGAATGCTTGCCTGATGTGAATGAGATCCTGTATTTAATACCCAGACTGCATAAAAAAGGAAAAAAAAAAAACTTAGTGGCCATCTTCTCTCTTTGCTTGAATGAATTCTGAGGTCTGATACGTAGTGCATGTTTAACATGCACAAGCCATGCTTTTGAACTCTAGTACTACAAACACATAAAAGGCAAAAGCTTTTTATAAAAGTGTTGTAACTCTTTCTTAGAAAAATAGCAATATAGCACACTACTATGAATTTGTTGATGTCTTATCATATATGTGTAGCTCATCAATATTTGTCAGTGGCAAGTTATATAAGTCTATATAAATGACCTCTGTTATTTAGCTATGTTGCATAGCTTTATCTTTTCTCTCTACAGCATTCTGACTCCAAGTACCATCTGAAGAAAAGGCTTACATCCCTGACTTTGCCCATAGTTCCGTCTACTGAAGCCAGCAAAGTCCTCACAAGAGCACCAGTCTTACAATCAACACCTGCCACTCCCCCACCGCCCTTACCAGCTTTTGGGGGCACCAGTAAAATAGATCAGTATTCTCGAATCCTTTTTCCAGTTGCATTTGCAGGATTCAACCTTGTGTACTGGATAGTTTATCTTTCCAAAGACACGATGGAAGTGAGCAGCAGCATTGAATAGCTTGCAGCCAGGACAACCGTGTAGCACGAATTCTCATTCTCCTTATTAAAAATATATGAATTGTGAAGATGTGTGTAAATGCTTTTCAGATATGAAATACAAATTGAAAATCTGCAAGGCATATTGTTTAATAAGCCTGTATGGGCTAAATCCAATGATATTCCCTCAGAATTGAAGTTGGAAGACTGCTGAATACGTGACTTTTCTATAGTAGAGAAAAATGTTCTAAGTGGATACGATGGATTCAAGACAGATTTGTCAACCGTTGCTCTTCATTGTTCCATAGTTTTAATTGTCACCGAGAATAACGTTTGCCACGGGGCAGATAAAATAAGACACCCCGAAACTTCTAAATGTTGCCTTAAATCTATTTATTTTGGCTTAGTTTTCAGTCTGAATATTTATTGGTATGTTTGTTCAGCATGTTGGAGGCCTTTATGCTTTTATAAGAGCTTACAGTGGCAGTGTACGGCTTCTATTGAGTTTAGACGTTTGTTCCTAACCTTGCTGTGCTCTTTTACCTCAATAAAGTGTGGCATTATATACATATAAATAATACATAGACCATAAATTATGTATGCATATGTACATAGCTTTGGCTATACTGAAATAAAGTGTTGCTGTAGCCCATCGAATTTTCTTTTTAAAATAAAATGTTTAGCATTCCAGGAAGTTTTAGGAAAGTCATTATGTATGTTAGGACTGTATATTGTGATTGTAGTTATCTCTCATTTTGTTCCACATTCCTAAGCATGTCACTAAATAAAACAATAGTGAACCTGGCTCTCTGGTTGTGACTCTTAAAGCTGGAGAGACAAGTTCTCGTAGGTAGTGAAGCATGAATGAGCTTCTTCCCCAATAGTAGTAGCTCTGGTTTTGAGAAGTAGAAGGGACAAGACAACCAAGCTCAGTTACTTACCTGACAATACTTGCATTCATAGATGCTCCCTGCTTCCTCTCGCTTCTCCTCAATCAACAATGACAGCGAGATAGAACTTTTTTCTCAGTTCTTCATGCTTCCTCTAGTTTTCTCTTATATAAAATCATTCTGGGGAAACAGGAATTTGGAATAAAAGAAGGCATGTCATGCGGTCTTTCCCAAAGGGAAACTGTTTTCTTTACAGTTGAGTCTCTATTACCATCCCAAGGCATGCATTTTAGAATGCATGGGAAAGAGAAGCTGAGTCAAAATTAAAACAGGTTTCTTTTATGCTAGACTTCCCACAGTCTTTATTATGTTTGTGCACACCGAGCTGCTAATAGTTTGCCACGGTACTATAACATTTCCTAAATCCTCATGACTGTGAGGATCCCTTTGCGAAAGAAAATCTTAGCAATAGAATTCCCTAGAAAAGAATTTGGGAAACACTACTTTAGGTACTATTTATATGATTCCCTCTATTACCCCCAATTAAACAGATATGGAGTTGAATCTCTGAATGGGGACTCGGGTTCTCACAGCTATTAGAAATCATGTTATGACTGTAAAGTAGAACCAAGCTATGTATTTCAGTAGGGGAAATTTAAAGTGTGAAAAGCTGCTAAGCTACATAGAGATGTTAACTGTAAGAAGCAGATACCAGAAGGGACTAGATCATATTACAGAATCTAGAAGCCTAGAAAAGAGGTTTTATAGAGCAGGGCTCTGTCACCTGAGGAGAGGACACCATCTAGCATGTGTCAGTAGCTCAGCTCTCTGAGAAGGAAGCCACGGGAGCTGGGAATCAGACCTTCAATGGTCTGATTGGCACCTGACTAGTACTATAGCTCAGCCCACTGGAGGAAGAGATTCCCAGAGCCTAGGCTTAGCCCTCACGGGGCTTGAAGGGAGAACTCCTATACATTGTAGAATGTGCTACTTTGCTTTTCTGTCATTGTGATAAGCACCATGACCAAAATCATCTTGGGGAGGAAATGGTTTACTTCAGCTTACAGGTTACAGTCCATCATCAAGGGAAGCCAAGCCAGGAACTCAGGGCAGGAACTGAGGCAGAAACCACAGAGGAAGGCTGATCATAGACTTGTTTCCCCTGGCTTGCTCAGCTCGTTTTCTAATACAGCCCAGGCACACCTGCCTAGGGATACCACCCACCGTGGCTTAGGCCATCCTACATCAATTAGCCACCAAGAAAATGCTTCACAGACATACCCACAGGACAATCTGATCAAGGAAATTCCCCAATTAAGACTTCCTCAGATCCTATGGGCTGTGTCTAGTTGACACCCAAGAGTAGTCATCAGAGTCTCCAAATCTTGAGGGTGTACTGCTCTGCTGAAACTAATATACTCCAGGGGAGTAAATTAGTGCAGTTCTGGGCGTTCAATGAACTGGAGACTGAAACCAACTGCATCCCAAGGTGAAGGTAATTCTGTATGGCAAAACAAGTTAAAAGGGGGAATGAATTATTATCTGTACTTTGGTTTGTCTCTCCAGAGTTCTTTGATGACAAAACCTAAAGGAAATTCTGAGGATGAAAAAGAGAAAATAATAACCAAGCTTCAGCTCAAGAATCACTAACTGGAGAATACAACATTGAACACTGAGCCAGCGGATAATTGCTTAATAATCTTTTCATAAATCAATATCATGTACATATTTTTGTGCATTTTTATTGTTTCACAATAATAAGATGTATTTGTCCTTTATATGAACAAAACTAATATTTATCAGTTTTCAGAAAAGGATATAAACAAAATTGCAAAGTCTTCTGGAACCAAATGCAATCCAGATAGAAAGATACTAACTAATCTTAAGTATGGGGAACAAATGAAAGCCTCTTAGGTTAACATCTTGAGAGATGACTCCCAATGAAATGAGGCCCAGAATTTCAAGAAGGGGATACTCAGCATGAGGAGGCTGCTTTTGTGAAAGTATGAACCTATAGTCTGAACTAAGTGCTGCTGCCAGGGTGGAAAATCATTACCTGGAAAGACCTCATACAGTTCTTGTTAGGATGGAAGCATTGTTGGGATGGAAGCAGGCTGTCAGCCTTCCTTCATGTCTCGATATTACATAAAGAAATATATTCTCAGTGTCAAAAGGAAGCGTATTAAAAGGAAGTTGTGCATTTCAGCTAGAGTATCATAAACTAAAGTAAAGCAGGGTGGATGGGTTCCTCAGAAACAAAACATCCCAGGTAGCAGACATCCTGGGATGTTGACTATTCTGGTATCTAGTTTAAACACTTTAAAAGGCTTTCTTAACAGTTAAATTTTAGAAACCATAATGAGTTGCTGAGGGAGTATATAGACTAGGCCTTTCATTATAAATCCCTTATTGGTAAAAATTCCATTTTCACATATGACATCACTTGAATTTATATATGCCAATAGTTTAGAACGATGTCTGTTATATAAAAGGTAATATCGGACTCCCCAAGCCACATTCACCCTTCCATCTCCCCCGCTGTTCGCTACTCCCAGTTTAGGACCTGCGCATTCCTAGTCTTGGGGCCCCAGACACCTGGGGAACCAATACTGCTTCCTGATCCTTCTCACCCAGACCAACTTAGTACCTTTCTTGGGCCCCAGGAGCACCGCTTCTGGTCCTGGCCCGCCCTCACCTCTCTCTGCATCCCTGGACCTGCACCACCGACTAACTCTCCTAGCCTGCACTCCTATCCTCAGGCCTCTTGGGGTAAGTCTATAGTGCAGCCCTCCGCGCCTTGACTCCCCAAGCCACATTCACCCTTCTATCTCCCTGGCTGTTCGCTACTCCTAGTTTGGGACTGGTGCCATCCCTAGACTTGGGGCCCCAGACACCGGGGGAACCAATACTACTTCCTGACCCTTCTCACCCAGACCAACTTAGTGCCTCTCTTGGGCCCCAGGGAACCTCTTCTAGACCTGGGCCCGCCCTCACCTCCCTCTATTTCCCTGGTCCTGCAACACCTGCCAGCCTCTTGCTGGGGCTAACAACCTTTTTCTGGGGCTCTGAAGCTTACCTTTCCTCTCCCTGATACTTTGCATCCAGTACAACCCAGCTACTCAGTCCACAACCTGGGAAATCTTGGGGCTTCTTCCCACCCCATCTGCCTTTGCATCCCTGCATGGCACAGCCACTGCCAGGGTCTCAGGTCAGTCCAACACCCAAGTTCCTGAGGCCAAAATCATTCTTAGAAGATTCCAGACCTAAGGAGAAAGTCTGAAAACTTCTGACCCACATTGGAATTGGGCCACCACGGAACTCCTGAAAACAAAATCAATGCGGCCACGACAATATAAAATCAAATGAGAGAACCAGAAGCTTATATGAACCAGCTCTTCATACCCAAAAAGTAAACCACAAAGACACATAAAGTTCAAAAAAAGAAGCAGAACTAAACTTGAAGGCCCAAGTATCACACAAGAGTCAGAAACTACAAAAGAAATTCACATGTCAAAATCACAGAGAAAAATTAATAACATGAAAAACCAAAATAACATATCCCCACCAAATACCAGTAATCCTCTAGAGGAGCACAATGAGAACCCCCTAGAGACAATGCAGGACATGGAACTCAAAAGAACAATGATGAATATGATAAAAGAATTCACTGAATTTAAAGAACACACAAACAAGGTAATCATAGAGCTGAAGGAAGATAGGGATAAACTTCTGAATGAATTCAGAAAAGAGCTAGAAATATTGAAGAATACTCAGGCTGAAATAAAGAATGAAGGGAAACACTCCATGAGCCAATTAGAAATGACAGGAGAAAGCCCCACCAATAGGATGAACGAAATGGAAAACAGAGTATCAAGACTGGAAGATAAAGTGGAAGAACTGGACCACTCAAGCAAAGACTATGAAAAATTTAAGAAATCACAAGAATGGAATATGCAGGAATTGAGTGATACCATAAAAAGACCAAAATTGTGAATCATAGGCATGCAGGAAGGAGAAGAATCCCAAGACAAAGTCATGGACCAGATCTTCAACAGAATTGTGGAAGAAAATTTCCCAAACTTAAAGAAAAACATGCCCATACAAATACAAGAAGCATACAGAACACCAAACAGACACGACCAGAACAGAAACTCTCCACAGCATATCGTAGTAAAAACACTACACGCACAAAACAAAGAGAAAATTCTGAAAGCTGCAAAAGAGAAACAAAAAGTCACATATAAAGGAAAACCCATTAGGATCACAGCTGACTTTTCAATG